TGTAGTAACGAGTGCTGCCATCGCCTCTTGTTCCCTGGGGGACTGAAGCCAAGCTGCCTACAGGGAACACTGCCACCCTCTGGGCTCTCTGTTTAGGAATCTAGACGGTGGGGCTGTTGAAAAACTAAACAAACGTTGTGAAATTTGTTTTGGTCAGTTTTGAATTTCAAAAATATTTGACCAGCTTTGTTGGACAGGAAGAGACTGGGGAGGTGTAATGTGCTAAAGAAGCAGAGTCAATATGAGGGGGCAGGAGCTGGTAAGAGGAAAGGGAAAATATGGGGAGCAAGTAAACGTGGAGGAGCATGAAGAGGAAGTGTAAGTGGGGCTGCGGAGTAGATGGGACAGGGAGAGAAACAGGAACGGGCTAGGAGGAGGAAGAGGGAGGTGGGTTGAGGTAAGCGGGGATGAAGAAGGGCAGAGTGGCAACTCTCCAACCCTAGAGGCCAGAGAGTGAGAGAACTTCCCCACAGTGCAGGCCATGGAGGCCCACATTGGTGTGGTTTTAAGATTGAACTTTGAACCTGAAATAATCACACCCCTCCAAGGGCTTGCGATGCCTTGACCCTAACGGCTCAGGGAGAGAAAGTGTGGGATTGTTTTTAATTCCGTGATTTGGGAGGCTGTTCTAATCGCGTGGTGTTCGAGTCATGACTTTTGAACCCTAGGGACAGCAGCACTAAGGTGGTGCTGGGCCCCAGCACGATTATACCTGCTTCGGTGGGGAGACCGGAAGCAGCAGAGTCAGTTTGGGCGTTCATCACCCGGACCATGGGGTGGGAGGAAGAGGCATTTGGACTCCATCTCTTGGAGCAGTAACGCCGGGGGCTAGAGGGGGATCGATCGGACCCCTCCCCCCCCCCCGGTAACGGGAGAAGGGGGGTCGGCGCTGGGGACTCTCCTCCTCTCCCGAGTGGCTCGGGGCTCCCAGATGTGGCGAGGGGACAGGGCCAAGCAGAGAGACAGCGGAGGAAACGGCCTCCCCCGCCCGTTCTCGCGAGAGCCGGGGGAGGGGTGGGGCGTCAGCGGGGCTATGACTGGCGACTCGGAGTTGTCGCCATTGTGAGTTCTGCAGGCGGAGGCGGCTGGGCCGCCCGCAGTGGGGGGTGTCTGGGACGGGACTAGAGGAGACGCGACGCAGGCTCGGGTGAGTAGGGGGCAGGAATGACAGTAGGGGCGACACTGACGGAGGTTGAGGCCCGCAGTATCCATCTTGTCTCTGGGCTGTGGCGGCAGCAGCCTCCCCGCCGCCACAGCCGAAGGAGCAGGCCCGGCCCGGCCGCAGAGCAGCCGGGTCTCTACCTGATCCGGAGAGACTCAGTCTCTCCGTCCCCCCGCTGTCCCGCCCTGCCAGGTGCGGCACGAACAACCAGCCCCCGCCGCCACCTGCTCTGACTCTCCAACACCCTCTGTCCCCAGCTCCGGATCAGCCCTGCCCGTGCCACCCTCCGAACCGCTTCGTCCTGGGGCCAGCCTCAGCCTGTGCCCCCAACACCAGCCCAGCCCCTGGTGGGGCCTGCTGAGCAGCGCAGACTCCCTCCCTGCTCCCGGCATGGCCCCTCCCCTTTCCCTCCTCTGGGCCTAGGGAGTTGCCCTGTTCCCTCTCCTGCTAGGCTGGGGGAGTAGCCTCATCTTCCTGAGTGAGTCTGGGGAAGAAACTTGACCCCCATGGACTGAGTAGTCTGGGAGGGCTCAGAGTTAATCAATCGTATATCTATGTAGAAGTCTCAATTATCCTACCCATTACCGCCACTAAGACAGAAGACTTGGGGGGTTGGGAATGGCTATTGAAGGGGAATTGATCATTGCCTTGTGGGTCCCACCATGCCAGAACTAGTCACTGGAGGGAACTTTAGGAATTGTCATGTGGAGGGGAGGGATAGCTCAGTGGTTTGAGCATTGGCCTACTAAACGCAGGGTTGAGAGTTCAATCCTTGAGGGGGGCTATTTAGGGATCTGGGGCAAAAATCTGTCTGGGGATTGGTCCTGCTTTGAGCAGGGGGTTGGACTGCATGACCTCCTGAGGTCCCTTTCAATCCTGATAGTCTATGATTCTATGGGTACGTCTTCACTACCCGCCGTATCGGCGGGTAGCAGTCGATCCCCGAACGCACTCACCGTTGACTCCGGAACTCCACCAGAGTGAGCGGCGGTAGTGCAGTCGACGGGGGAGCCGCGGCTGTCGATCCCGTGCTGTGTGGACCCCAAGTAATTAGATCTTAGATACTTCGACTTCAGCTACGCTATTTGCATAGCTGAAGTTGCCTATCTTAGATCCATTCCGCCCCTCAGTGTAGACCAGCCCTATGTGCCAGAGGAAAGGGAACACAAACCATCCATAAGAGACACTTCTTCCTCCCTTCTCTCCCATTTCCCCCAACTCCTGAGGCAGAGGCCTTCCTAACAGGCAGAGATGTAGGAATGCTGGCTCTATGCACCCCCTCCACATGAAGTATTATGGGATGGCAGAAGGGGCATATGCACGCTTCTATTGTGTAGTGCTGCAATGGCCCACTGAGGCCCTTTCAGAACTGGTGCAAATTAAGATCACTCAAGCCTTCCCTGTCTGCAGAATGGTTGAATTGGCCTCTAGCAGCTGTAAGAGACAGCATTGTCTCTCCCCTCAGCCTGATTCTCTTCTGATTAAAAATAGTTCCTGATCTAAAGTCCAAGTGTTCAAAAGCTATTATTAGTAAGGTCCTCCCAAAATCCCAGTAGCTTTAGAAATTTCTTTGTCTTCTGTTTTTAAATCTTTAGGGTATGCTTGGATCAGGAGTTTTTTTTCTAGCTGTCACTAGCTGTCAAGTTCCAGAAAAATTACTTGAATTTTCTATTACTTAAGATCTGAGGTGGTCCCCTCATCACATGCCTCCAAGCTAAAATTGCAGGACCCATAAGCATTGCTTCTTTTCTTGGCCTCCAACCCCCACTTCTCCCTATGGTGGAGCAGAAAGATTGTTCTTGAAACGCCAAGCTGAAGTGTTGGTTTTCTCCTTCCCTTCCTGGAGCTGATGACTCTGGAGAGGCTCCAAGTCAATGCTAGCCCTTATCATCCCCATCTCTTCTCTGTGGTGAATTGGTAGACTCTTAAGCATGGTTCTCCTTTTTTACTGTACCTAGAGGCACTGATGGATTGTGAGAAGGGTAAGACAGTGGCTTCCCAGTACTGTAGTTGGAGAAACAACGCCATCTTTTACCCCTTTGCTACACCTAAGTGTTTAGGAGGCAATGGGATTTAGAGAAGCTTCAGCCCCTCTCATCAAACTTAGGACTGTCATAAGAAAGTGGTAAGAGATCTTAAAGTACCTTCAGTATTAGAAGTAACCCTTATTATAGTAAGGAAAACAGTTATCCATGAAAATCTTCTTCTATGGGCTTCTAAAACAAAGTTCTGGAGAGCTAAAATTTAAATTTTGGTGCATATCCAATTGGTAGCTTTTAACATAGTCTACCAAATTATTAATTGGCTGAACACTTAAAAAATACACTTGTAAAATTTTAGTTATAGAAACTCTTTTCAGTACCACAAACCTACTTTGAATGTTTTCAGTGTAACTGTCTACTCTTTAAGTGTCTAAATGGATTTTAGAACCTGCAAAAATATGCTACTTTGAATCCATACTGAATCCATGTTCACTCATATTTCTGCCACAGTTGAGATCGGAGTTGGGTAAGGTCCCAGTGCCCCTCTGAGTAAAAATCCAAAATGGTTGTCAGTTGAGGTTTCCTTTTCAATGTAATTTGTCAAGTAAACCGACAATGCTGTGTACTTGTGTAATTTGCAGGTATTGCTGTAGCTAGTAAAATGCTTTAGTGAGTGTGTCGGGGAAGAGAGGAATGTTGTCAATCAAGGAAGCCTATTTAAGCTAAGTATGGTCAAACCCAGTAATTATACACAAAGCTGTCAAATGAATATATTTTAGCACTGGTAAGACAACCAGTATATTTTCCCCCACACAGTTTGTGGAACACAATTATGTAACATTGTAATGCAATGGTAATTTGAATATCTAAAGTTACATTTATCACTTAGATTAAGTCCCCTGGGACACAGTTTTGCGGTGGGTCCTCCCCCTCCATGTAAAATTGTGCTCAGATTCCTGGTACTAACGCTACTAATTTTTGTTGGGTTTAAAACAATCCTTTAAGTCATGTGTTTACCTTTAAGGTAGTTAAATTGTACTGGTTAATATGAAGATACTCAAGGGCTCATCTACACATGAGGTATTTGGGAAAAGCTATACAGAAAAAATTAAAAATAACTCTGAAATAAAAGCATGTCTACACAATGGGGTGATGCACACTAAGGGATGTGATTTCTAAAGTGCATCAATCTGTCACACGCTTAACTGGTCCACATAAACCCTGCTGGTATGTACTAACAGTTCCCTAGTGTGCTTTATTTGAAACAGTATTTATTCTGGAATAACTCCATGTGAAGACGATCTAGAATAGCTATTCTGTTTTAAATTGGGATAGCTCAGTGGTTTGAGCATTGGCCTACTAAACTCAGGGCTGTGAGTTCAATCCTTGAGGGGGCCATTTAGGGATTTGGGGCAAAAATCTATCTGGGGATTGGTCCTGCTTTGAGCAGTGGGTTGGACTAGATGACCTCCTGAGGTCCCTTCCAACCCTGATATTCTATGAAAATTAACACTCTTATTCCTGCATCTATGTGTAGACAAGCCCTAAAGCGCTAGAACTGGAAAATGAAATGATTCCATGTAGGAGTTTAATGTTTTCTAAGGGTCTTAAGTTACCATTCAAAATATCTAGCACAAGGTCGGCAACCTTTCAGAAGTGGTGTGCCGAGTCTTCATTTATTCACTCTAATTTAACGTTTCGCGTGCCGGTAATACCTTCTAAAAACGTTAAAGTGTCTCTTTCTATAAGTCTATAATATATAACTAAACTAGTGTATGTAAAGTAAATAAGGTTTTAAAAATGTTTAAAAAGCTTCTTTTAAAATTAAATTAAAATGCAGAGCCCCCCGCAGACCCGTGGCCAGGACCCGGGCAGTGTGAATGCCACTGAAAATCAGCTCGTGTGCTGCCTTTGGCACGCGTGCCATAGGTTCCCTATCCCTGATCTAGAACACTCTAGGGAGCCACTGATTCTGACAAAGATTTTTGTGAAACTTTTATTGTGACAAATACAGTATAGTTTGCAGGATTTCTATGTAACTTCTTCCCTTGGTGGATGTAAAATGTTATCAAATCAGAATAAGTTTCAAGTCATGCATGCCAGGAAAAGCTTTAAAATATGAACTGACGCCATGTCTACCCTATGGGTACTATAGCAGCATAGTTATGCCAGGATAATCCTGTAGTGTAGATACAGCCTATGGCAGTAGAAGAGCTTTTTCCATCCCTTTAGGAACACTATGGCTTCATCTACATTAGCACTTTTGTCTGTCAGGGGTGTGAAAGCCCCCACCCCTGACTGACAAAAGTTTAACAGACAAAAGCTTGGTTGTGGACAGCGTTATGTTGGCAGGAGACACACTTCTGCGACATAGCTACCGCTGTTTGTTAGGGGTGGCTTAATTATTCTGGCAGGAGAGCTCTCACCCGCTGGCATAGAGCAGCTACATGGGAGACCTTACAGCAGTGCAGCTGTGCTGCTGTAAAGTCTGTAGTGTAGACAAAACGTACCTTCCCGAGTGACGGTAGCTAGCTCAATGGAAGCATTCTTCCATTGACCTAACTGCATCTATGCCAGGGGTTTTATCGGTATAGCTGCATTTTTTAGGGTGCAGCTTTTTCATACCCCTGAATGCTGTAGCTATGTTGGTGTAAATTTTAAGTGTAGACCAGGCCTGTGCCCAATGTCTGTCTGAAGCTGCAAAGGGCATGAAACAATAGCTAAGAGGTGTGAACTGCCCAGTCATCTGAATTCAGAAGCATGCGGCTACCTTAAGGAGGGTGATATTATGGCAGGGTCATTGTTTGGGAGAGGGGTGATAGTGGGTCCTCTTGTGGATTAGTACCCTAGGCACAGATTGCCTTAATTTAACCCAGATGTGAGTGCAGGTGGTAGTACAGAATGAGGCCCCTCTATCTTCCCCTTTCTCTGCACACCTAAGTAGCATGTTTGTGTCCTTGTTCCTTGCACATATTCCTGGCATAAAGAAACTGACAAAGCTCATGCCACTTTCATGCTGCTGCTTAGAAAGCACTACAAGGATACCATCCAGAATAGAGGTAGGAAGAGAAGAACTGAAAGAGAGCTGCAGCAGTGCAGTAGCAATGTAAATTACTTTGAGAGTTTCTCAACCCACTTTCTGGACCTGCAGGGAGTGGGATGGAACACTGATAGTACCTTTAGTCCCTTGGCTAGACTCTCTTCAGTCAGGTGTCTAGCCAACTGAAGTAGAAGTGTTGATGCTGTATGTGTAATGCATGGCTCTGTGACACAGCAAAGTATAGAGGAAGGAAGTTTATTTTAATAAAAAAAAAAAGCCTATTTGCCTTCCTGCCAAAGGAAAGTGTGTGGGTAGATGGACTGAGGGAGGGGGAAGACCTCTAAGAAGTGGGGAAATGTTAAACCGGGGTAGATCTGGTGGAAAAATGTGAAAAGCCAAAAGGTAATTTAGCCAAGACCTAGCAGAGAAAAACAAATCACTTAATTTTGTTTGAGGGAGATTGTATGTATTAGTAGGTAACTAATGCTTTACACTTATTTGGCATCTCTTACCAAAGGATCACGAAATGAGTTATAAACAGGTGGTAGTGAAGTATTATCCTTATTTTACAATAGGAAAGCCAAGGTAAAACATGATGCAGTTTACCTTATGGTCATATAGCAAGTTAATTGCAATTCTAGAATTAAAAGATAGGTCGCCTGGTTCCCAGGCCTGTGCTTTAAAAATCATTATATAAAGCATGTGCGCAATAAGTATTGATGACAAACTTAACGTACCTATCTGTTGCAGTCTATACTAGAAAAAAAAAAGGGGGGAGGGGAAAATAACTTTTGTCTCATGTAGAACACTGAGAATGGAGTCTAAACCTTCAAGGATTCCTCGAAGGATATCAGTTCAACCCTCCAGTTCCTCCTCTTTAAGTGCTAGAGCATTGTCTGGAAGCAGAGGAAGCAGTTTAACTGATGCATATCATACAAGAGAATCTTCACTGAGACTGGATTCTGGATGTCAGGTGAGGCATTTTATATTTGCTTTTAGAAGTAACACCTTCTATATCTGCCTCTTTTGAGCAGGATTCTTAACAAGATCAATTTCAAGGGCAATATAAGGAGGAATTTCAACACGTTTTCTCACACAAACAAGATAAATGCAAAGATTTGGCCTTGTTGGTGGTAGTGCTTTGCACTGCCATGAAATGGCTTAGAGTAACTTCATTTTACCATCTTTCCCCACTACTGTTGGTATGTAGCATTTTAAATCAGTGCCTGAATAAGGAACATCATTAAATGAGTCCAATGCATACCCTGTGTCTATCGGGATGGTGATTATAGTATAGGATCTTGGAGGGAAGTCTGTTTAAGTAAAATCGGGATCTTCTGGCCTGACAGGGAAGTGGAGACCATAAGTTTCAGTATTGCCAGAGCACAGCATTTTAGTTTTAGATAATGGTGTAAAAGGTCTCAACTCTAAAAATGACAGCACAATTAAGCTATACCTGATCTGTTGTATTTATTAACTGTTTGTTCTGTCTGAAGGTTGTATGGCACGAATAAGGATATAAAGGAGTGAGAAGGCTTTCAGGCTTCAAGTCATTCTGCCAGCATGCTAGCAGAACTAGAGATGAAAGCATAAGGGGTGCTAACTAGAACATTCTCTGTGAAGGCTGAGTTGTGTCTGGAATGGGGTGCTTCAACACAATATACACCACTACCTCCATATAACGTGACCCGATATAACACTAATTCGGATATAACGCGGTAAAGCAGTGCTCTGGCGGGGCAGGGCTGCACACTCCGGTGGATCAAAGCAAGTTCAATATAACGCGGTTTCACATATAACGCCGTAAAAAATTTTTGGCTCCTGAGGACAGCGTTATATCGAGGTAGAGGTGTACTAACAGCTGATTCACTAGCCTTGTCATGTTTACCTCATTTTAGTTTACACAAGTGTGTAAACAGACAATACTGTACATAAGTTATTTCTATCTAAATACATATGAAACAAGCTGAACTTAAAATATAAATCAATACAGATGACAGTCGTATTAAAATATGTAGAATCTGTTTGGCCCACACAATTGTGCTTAGGTTTGTGTCCCTCCTGTGTAATAAGGTAGAGCACCACTGTCTTGATCAAGACTGTTTAGTAAACTAGAAAACACTTTAAGGATTAACCTGTATATAAGTAGATTTGGGGGGAAGTCTTAGATGCAAGATATTGGCCAGTGCGTTCTTTCATGTTACACTTCAGTTAATGATTTGACACTTCGATTTTAATAAAACTCCTCCTATGCTATTCAGAAAAGAGATTCTCTAAATTCCTTTTAGAAAAGAAGTCTTGCAAGTGTAAATATGTACAGTAACTCCTCACTTAATAGTTATGTTCCTGAAAAATGCAACTGTAAGTGAAACAGTGTTAAACGAATCCAATTGTCCCATAAGATTTAATGTAAATGCAGAGGGTTAGGTTCCAAGGAAATGTTTTTGGGGCAGACAAAAGGCACTATACTGTATACTATACAGTACTGTATTGTGGTTGGGAAGTGCCCCTGGCTTACCCCACACAGGCACAGCCCGCTGCAGGCAAGGACCTTTGCAGCGGCAGCTTCCCCAGAGAACAGGCTCGGATTTTGCCGGAAATGCTCCAGGCCCGCCTCTTCCTGTCCCCGCTCCGCTCCAGGCCCGCCTCTTCCCGTCCCTGCTCCACTTCCTCTCCAGAGCACGCCACATCCCTCCCCCCCCCCCCAATGTCCTAAGCACCGCCAAACAGCTGCTCAGCGGTGCTTAGGATTTTCTGGGAAGGAGGGGGAGAAGTGGAGATGTGGGGCTTCCTCGCTCCTGCCCCTCCCTCCCAGCACTTCACGCTTAGGACTTTCTGGGAGGGAGGGGCAGGAGCGGGGAAGCCCCGCATCATCTCTCCTTCCCCTCCCTCCGTCCCAGAAAGTCCTAAGCGCCGCCAAACAGCTGTTTAGCAGCGCTTAGGATTTTCTGGGAGGGCGGGGGAGGAGTGGAGACATGGTGCTTCCCTGCTCCTGCCCCTCCCTCCCAGAAAGTCCTAAGCGCCGCCAAATTGGCAGTGGGGGAAGCTCTGGGAGGGAGGGAGAGGAGGCAGCGAAGTGGAACTTGTGCAATGCTCCCTTGTAAAATCGCTGCTCTTCCACAGAATTTTACAGGTAGGCAGCCAAACGACGTTATAAGGGAGCATTGCACAACTTTAAACAAGCAAGTGTGTTCCCTAATTGAGCAGGGATGTAACATTGAAACAACGTTAAGTGGGACAATGTTAAATGAGGAGTTACTGTACCAAGATGTATGTGAATACTTAGTACTCATAACTCATTCACACAAAGTGCTTTACAGAGGTGGGGAAACACTTTTTTTAGATGTGGAAACTGACTTGCTTGGTGTGTAACATCAGGTATGGCAGAACAGGGAATAATTCCCAAGTCTAACTCCCAACCTGATGGCCTGTATATTGGACCACACTGCCTTGGCTCGTCTGGTAATCATGGACCAGCTTTCTGTGGAATTGCACTTTTGGGAATATGACCTGGCTTGCATAGGAGTAGTCTTTTCCCTATTATCAGCAAATTTTTTTATGACACTTGCTTGGCTTTACTTCTGTTTAATCCTTATTGTCTTGTTTAATAGTTGTTTCAGTGATTAACTCAAATGGGGAACATATCAGCGCTATCCTTTTCTAGAAAAGGAAATGTGGAGGTATACAGCTGATGTAACCTTCCTTCAGTTGGTAAAGAGAATGGTAGCTGTGACTGACTGTGAAAGTGTACGTCTATTATTTATCCAAATGAGGCATACATCCCTGTTTTCTAAAACCAGATGGCTAAATGGTGTGAAATTTTACACGGGATTGCTTTTGATGCCCTCTTAATTTTTTGTGTAGTTCCTCTTCATACATTTTGAAATAGGTTATTTCTGAATTGGGGCTCTGAATGCTTTTCCTTAAAGTCCCACTTTTCATTAACTCAAACATTACCAAACTTTATGTAGAGAGACAGGTGGATCTGATGCAAAGGATAAGTTTATATTATTAAAAAAACCCCACACTGACTTAGGGTCATTTGATTTAGCCATTCATGTTGTAACAGAACTTGTGCTGTACACACAATGTTGATTGATGGGGTTGCTGAAAGAGCCTGATGCACATAAAACCTTCTCAACTAGCAGCTACACTTTGATATTCTCTCTCCCCCCCAAGTACAGAAGGGAAAAAAGTTGCTGTGCTGATAAAGTGTGCAGCGATGAACACTTACCACTCCCACTGCTTCCAGAGAAGCAGGTCCACTTCCCCCCCTAAATTAAGCACTAAAAACCTGGGAAATTAATATACAAAATTTGTGAAATAGATAGGGTTACAGCACATACAGAATATTTGACACAAACCCACAAAAGCAAGGAAGTTAAAAGTTAAGCCACCTAACAGTACATACCCTCTATTCCACTCACAAGCACACACCTAACCATTACCAAAACTACCCTGCCTAGGGATGTCAGCCTATCATCCCCTCCTTCTACACACAACCCTTTACCAAACTCCTCTCTCCAAACACAGCCAACTACACCATCAAACATCCACAACTGCTGTTGATGAGGAGGAATAATTGGGTAAAAGGGCTTGTGCAGAAAGTTTAAAGGTAAGCAGAATTAGGATTTTGGTAGGTGGTCAGTGGCATATATTAGTTGTGGTAATGGTAAGATGTGCGCCTCTGGGTGAAACAGTAGTTCTGTTGAATGGCTTAACTCTTTTCTTTTGTGTGTTTGGTAGTCAGGGTTGCAATATGCACACACCAAACAATTCAGTAGGTATTTTTATATTTATATTAATATATTTTATATTTATATTTATATTTGGAATCCCTAAGGCTTGGGTCTTTGTTGTGCTAGACCATGTACACGTGATTAAGAAATAGACCTCCTTTACCACAGGAGCAGTCCATAAAAAGAACATGTAGACTTTTTTTTTTAATTTAGTTTTCTACCTTCCTCTCCTCATCCACCTCACCCTCACCCTGAAGTCTTCAAAGTACTCATTTCAGACAATTCTGACCTTTCCTTTAAGTGTCCACAGAAGTTGCAGTCCTCCTCTACACATCTCTATTAAACTGTCCCCAAAGCTTAGAGTTTGTAGTGCAATATATCTGTCCTAGCACTGCTCTTAAGAAGTTTTGGTTTAAATTGAAATGGAGGCATTGTCTTACACAGTGGAAACTATAGAAGGAGATGGAAGTGTGGTTTGTTATGCTTCATCTTACCTTTTTGGTAATTTAGCAGCATTAAGACTCTAGAAATAGAAGCTCTCTGAAGCTACTTTTACTTAGTCTCTTTTGCTCTGAAAGACGACATATACAAGAAGGAGCTGGAAGGATTCATGGCTTTACATTCTTTCCTAATTTGCAGTAGCTTATTTGTGACTGACTCATTTTGCAGAAACTATATAGGCTTATATAGGAACACATCTAATTAGTATTAAATATCACAGGTAGAGGGTTAGCATTGGAAATTTTTTTTTTTTTTTTTTAAACACAACTTTCTTAAGCAAATTGCTTGGGGGAGGAAGCAATGCTTAATTTATTAAACAGAAATTAAATCCTGCAGGCCATGATTTATGGTGTTAAAAGTAGCACAGTTGGTGGAGATTAAATTCCTTAACATGTTAAACTTTCTTAGGTGTAAACAAGAGAACAGATGCTTATTCAAGGCTAGCTGGCTCAGTTTGCCCTGGTCACTTGGGATCTGAACCCCTAAGCAACAACACTTGGCTCTTTGCTCCTTGAGTAACTGGGTCACATAAGTCTGAGTCTGCTCCAACATTGAAACTAAGAAAGCAGCCCTTTTAGCATAGGCTCAGGCTCCAGAATCCAAATGTTCAGTCCCTGCTGACTGTCCGTCCAGGAGCATTGTGTTACATAAGCCATTTCTTGCATTTAGTTTTCTGAGTACTAGATCATTCAAGTTATCATGTATAGCTCAGTAGGTATATAGCCATGTATCTTGCCTACATTCCTGTGTCTTGTATACATAACTTTCCAGGCATATTGGATGCAGAGGATGGCTTAGGCATAGGTTAGAACATTTTCAACATGTTCACTCATAGTAAGGCTAGAACTCCTGAAGTCTGCTGCTAGCTGTACACCACTGATTCATTACATAGCCATGGATCAATCACTTGTCTCACTTCCCCTTAAAATAGGGATGATGCATAAGTCTCTACATGTAGAATAATTTTATCAGTATTCATATGGTGCTGTAAAAATGTTAAGTTTAATATGTTTTGACAGGTTATTTCTAAACAAATTAAACAATTTTAGCGATGACCTATTCAATTTTTGCCCTTTCCCTGGTTAAATACCATTCTTGATCTCATCGTAACACTTTAAGGTCTGGAATCCAGGGGCAAAGTCTACATTGTATGAATTTCGCACTGTCAATGAAACTTACTGCAGACTTAATGTGTTGGTACTTAGATATAGAGCCAAACTATCTCTGAGAACAATTTGTCTCTTCTCTTGTGACCTCAGCTGTCCAAGGAATTTTAGGAGCAGTTTCCAGTGTTGCTACAGGTACAGATTTCATGTGACCAGGTAAACTGAGTAAGATCATCCTGAATGAGTCGTAATAAATATGGCCAAATAGGAACAGAACGGACAGGTTTTTGTCACTTCAAGATTGAGTCTGAAACTTGACTCAAACAAAATATCACTAAGAGCTGCTGCAGCTGCATAATATTTACCTTCAAAATGGGGTGCAGGGTCTTTTTTTGTTTAACAATTGGATACCAGGTAATGATCTTGGAATAAAATGTAAGAAAATTACACCCACATACAAAATCTTCTCAAAACCAAAGAGCATTCATAATTGAAAAGCTTACCTCATAATAGGAAAACTAACTTTCCTAGGCAGAACAAATCAGAAATGAAAAAGTTGGTACAATGTAAATTTTAATGGGAGAAGCCAATAACTTAAGACCATCCATCTAGGTACCGTAGTTTTCCCAAGATTTCAAATGGATTTTACACTTGGAACTAAATTGGATGTTAACGGCCTATAGGCATGACATGGTTAACAGGCTAAAAGTCAAGCCAAACAAAGATGCACTTGTATCCTCCAGCTGTCTGAGGAAGAGTAGAAATAATTTGACAGTAGTAAATGCTCTCTGTGTAGTGCAAGTGTCACGGAGTCACCAGGCCAGTGGTCTGGAACTACTCCATACAAAGCCAATCAGGAGTCTGGTGTAGCATGCCTCCTCTCTGAGCATATTGTCACTGGGGAAAAAAGCTTCCTGGGTCTGACCTTGGAGCATTCAGCATCCCCTTCCTCCCGGTGTGCTTCCTGCAGCAAGTCCGCCCAGGCAGGGCTCCTGGGGAAGCCAGAGGGCCCTGCACCCCAACTCCTGCAGTCAGCCAGCATGTAGAACAGAAGGGTTTATTAGTTGACAGGAACACAGCGTAGAACAGAGCTTGCTATCAAGATACCATGGACTTGGCTGTAAATCACTGATGAGTCCTGGGCCAGACGGCCTAGACACTCTCTCTTCTCTCTTCCCCCCCCCCCCCGCTACCAAGCTACCAGTGATCCGACCTCCAACACCCCCATTGCTGCTCCTCCTCTTTGTCCTGCGTCCAGGGAAAAAGGTATCGCCAGGTCACACACCCCTCCTGGGTCTCAGGTTACAAAGGGCACTGGCCATAGCATACGCAGCTGGGCAGCCTCACCTGCCCTGAAGGCCTCAGCGAAAATTTGCACCCATTTCCCCCCACCGAAATATTGGCGCAGTACACAGGGAAACAGAGGTACACACGGTATTAGAATAGGACAGTGAGACACTCATGCAACATAAGATGAATAAAACTCCACTTCGTCACAGTAAGTGTCAGTTTTACATGATTTAGAGTTCTAAAAGTAAGCGCATTATAAACGCAAGTTTGTTTGGTTTCCATTATACAAACCTTTCATAAGTTTTGCGAAACTTGCTCGCAGAAATCTTAAATTAACATCACTTTCCTTTCCTACAAATAAGATTTTTTTTAAATTAAAATGGGAGTTTCTGGGAGCTGCTTTTTTTTTTTTTGACAAAGACACTAATTTTTTGTGCTGCTTTTTAGGGCCTATTAAAACCCCACTTCCTTTGTTTAAAAAAGTTATTCTAACCCCCCCCCTCCACCTTTTTATGTAGTGTTCCTGCTTTAATTACTCACCATTCAATTTGTTTTGGACAGCATAGTATTTGTGTGAAACTCTAGGGTAGGACTGTTTGTTCAGCACCATAAAATAAGTGGTGTGTGTCATTTACACCAGCACTACATAAACTTAAGTGGGAACATAAGAGAAACTGCAACTTCTGGTTTTGATAATGCAACAATTTGATTTTTAAAAACCACTAAAATTCCAGTCTCTCTCCTACTATACTGAGAAAAAAACCTTTAACAGGATTTCTTAAAATTAAGAAAAAGTAAACTAAGACTTAAAGAACCCTTAAACACACACTCCAATCTTGGAGAACATTTTCTAAGACTTAGCCTTGAGATTGTGGTTAAACAGTTGCAAAAAAGAAAGCAGAATACCCCTTTACAAAACTGTAAACACTAAAAAAAGTGTCTACCTTTGGACAGAGACCAAGCATGGACAATTTCAGTCCCAAATGTAGTATTGCCACCCACCAGTGCTGAAAATGTCATGAGCTGTATCTCAAAGTGGCTTTAAAATTATGAGATTTTTAAAAAACAGAACTTTCCCATTAGATTCTGGTTTCTGAGCCATTCTGGTGCACTGGGGTCATATTTTCAAGATTTTGTGTGAAGCACGGGGACTAGAAATCTTTTAAAATGAAAGCTGAAATTCTCAGCTTTTCATTAGCTGGAGAATAAAGAAAAATATTGCAAGACTTGGCAAGCGGCAAGTGACATGCCTCAGTAGAAGTTATGAACACATGTAACTGACTTGTTTTACAAAACAAAAGCACAGCTGTTTCTTAAAGTTGGATAATTTCTGAATTTCCTAGTTATGAATAGTTTAAGATTTTAAAAACTTAATTTTGAAATTAAAGTGTTTTAGAAACAGTGATTCCAGAAGCTTATCACAAAAGGAGTATTTAAAAGATTTTAAGCTTCCCATAGCCCTTTGAAATTATTCAAAGTGGATCTTAAAGAAAAGCTAATGAACCTTGTTTATTCCCATATTTAAGACATTATATTATGGATATCTTTTAGAAGGAGTAACTTAAAAAAATGACATTTACTCCAGGTATAGGCATGGAATTTAACTCGGAGCATGAAGTTAACTTTCATACTGTGTCTCCCTTGAGGAAAAAAGGCTGTCTTTCTATTTAAATAGAAAGTCAGGGGTCATTAAAAATGGCATTTGATTTTACTCCTACTGAATTTATTGGAAGTTGCCACTTAAGTGATGCTGATATGGAACCTCAAGAATGTCAACATTGTTAAAACCTTCTCTGTACTAGTTGATCAGAGCGACTAGAAATATAAAGATTTTATAATTTTTGTATATATTAAGCTTTTCTCCAGAAGTGTGATGTTCCAATCCTATTACTGTTAACTTCCCTATTTGTCCAGAATATGGACTGCAGCCTTTGGATGTGTTGGGAGGATGGAAATACAAAAGTCAAATTAGTTACAGCTACTGCCATACACTAAACTTTTTTCCAGCAATTTGAAGAACATTTTGTACAGAATGTGTACAAAAGCCAGCAGTGTTTTGCAAAGCTCCCATACAGAACTGTCTTCAATATGCATGCCAAAATAGCTATTTATAATTTCAGTGCTGTTGCACAATGTCTGGGGAGTCAGCTACATGGATGCCCAACTACTAAAAAAAAAAAAACTTTCTTAAAGTAACTCCCTCCCCCCAATGGTGATTGCTATGTTTTGCTTCCAAATGGCCCTGTAGGCCTTCTTTGGTAGGGCTCAATATAATTGCACTAGAGTTGGGCAGCAGACCTACAAAGTGAAACTTCTCTAATGTACTCCCTGAGCAAGGGGATGGAGAGTCAGGATACTATCCTTTACTCCTCTGTATAATATATTTTTGGGGACATATCAGAGAGAAGTAAGGAGAAGAGAGGCAGCAGAATAGGAGGAAAATGGTTGTGGCCTGTAAAGAAACAAGAACACTTAAGAATAAAGTGAATTTTACGAAGATGTTACGTGAAATGTTCTTAGAGTAACAGCATTGGTTTACTTTGCTAATAAGCCACATTACCAATTTAGTTGACAAACTGCCCTCCCTCGTTTCATCTGTTTTGTTAGGACAGGATTTCTTTTGATCAGTGTGCTATTCTGTTGTTAGCTCTTGAGGACGGCAAAAATGTAATTCATCATCCTGTTCGGTGTTAAGGTGAACCAAACAAATGTAGTTTCGTCCTCTACTACTGCTTTGGTGTGGAAAGATGGTCTGGGTTTTTTTTTTTTTTTAAACAACTTATTTCTGCAGAATTGGAATAGTGGTATCATACCACAGGAAATCTGAACTTAAAAGTTCCTCTTTCCTACCCTCAAATGATAGGAGAGGGGGTGTAGAGACTTCAGCTTCCTTAAACTGACAGAGTTCTGCAGTTTGGGTTACAGCTGCATGTGTGACAACTATTCAGCTCTTCCAGCAAAAGGATTGGGTCATTGCTTCTCTCCTCTCAGTACAAAAATCCATTAACAACTTAATGTCAGGGCGGAATCTGAGGCAGCAGAAAAGAGAGAAACTAATTCTCTACCTCCTTCCCCCCCACCCCTCCAAAAAATACTAACAAAACAAAGCCCACAAACCTTTGCTTAGCAATTCTTCTTAGATTTATCACCTATATCTTAAGTCCAAAACACTTAAAGATGGAGTGCCTGCTTTAATTTTGAAGTTTCCTGACTCTTGGTGCCACCATCTTAATATGTACTCAGTCTTCAGAGCATGACTAAAAAGGCCATCTTGATTTAAAGTTACATGTAATATGCATGTTGTTCTTTAGGAATCCAGTCTGTTGCATAGTTCCAGTAGAGACTGGGGAATTGGAGAAAGAGGAGAAGCTCATGAAACTCCTTGGAAGCTTACTAGTTCCTCTCCAACTCACTACTCGGGGACACTTGATCGTCCATGGTCTGGAAGATTTTTGGGAAGCAGAAGCAGATTGGTGAGATTTGATAATATATAAAATATATGGGGAACAGAGGTTTTAAATTACAAATCTTCCAGGTCAAAAAACCTGCTAGTAGGAATCCCCTGCTATGATGCTTAAAATAAGTTTGGTAGACTCAATCAAGTTAAGGGAGGAGAGGGGGGTAGGAGGAGGAAGGGAAAGAGGACTGGAGTTGTTAACAGACAATTATAAAGAATGACTTGAATTAGATTTGTTTTAGATTAGTTTACAAATAGTTAAGGCTAAGATTTTGTCATGGTTATTTTTAGTAAAAGTCACAGACGGGTCATGGGCAATAAACAAAAATTCACAGAAGCTGTGACCTGTCTGTGACTTTTGCTGCTGCAGCTCCATGGTTTCTCCTGCCACCATGGTGGCTGGGAGCTGCAGGGTCCCCCATCCCCGCATGTGAGGCTGTCATCTGTTGCAGGAACCCACATCGGGACCCTGAGGAGGCTGTTGCCTTGTTTCTGGAACCCTGCTGGCTGCCAGCTCCAGTCCCACAGCCCCAGAGGCTGAAGCAAAAGTGTCACAGAGGTCTCTGGAAGTCATGGATTCTGTGACCTCTGACATAAATATAGCCTTACAACTAGTTAAATATAAATTTGAAGGGGACATGCTCTGCAAATCCTCCATTTTAAAATTTATAGGTGTTGTATGCATAATGGGGGAAAGATGGGGGTTATGACTAGACTCTTAAATGCATATTGTGGCCCCACACATGGCCAGACTAACACTATGGCACTCCCATGGCTCCATTCCTCCTTGGAGTGAGGCAATAGTTTTCAGAGTTAAGATGAATAAGGGGAACTCTTGTTTTAGGCTGCTTGCTGATTCAGACAGGCATCTATTACACCCTGATCATGTTTTCCAGTTACTAGGACCCTCATGGTTGCATACTTTTAAAATGGAAGCTGAAATTTTAATATGTGACTCCAGGAACTGAGGCCTAAAGTGTCTGCCTTCATCTGGGCCGGGTCCCCATACAGATTTGAAGCTTGCTATTTATGACATTTTATGCACAATACTGAAGTCAACAAACTTTGCCAAGAGAGAACTTACAGTTTAAACAGGTTTCTTACACCAATTTAAAAGGTGAAGGTAGTCAGAGTGTGGGTGAGAAAACAAATGTGGGGCTGCCAACCTTCAATGGAAATCATGGTGAAAGACTGTGCATGTAGTTGAAGTGCGAACTGTGCCTCTGCTTATAAAAGGCCTGTCCCTGTAGTTAGTAGGCACTGCAGGCTTTTCAAACTGTTTCTGTTTTTTTTTCCCCCTTAAAATTTAATTTTTCCCCCTAAAGTGACTTTTGAGCTGCAATGAAAAGGAATGTTGCACCACACAGTACTTTCTGAAATTGTTGCTTTTAGATTAGCTTCATTGAGCAATGTGTGAGATTCAGTCTGATTGCTAAACAGGGTTATGAGTCCTGTTTTGTACTTGGTTTGGGAAGCTAGTTTTTTTTTTTTTTTTTTTAAATGATGGAGGAGAAATGTCTAGTACAGCTCGCAGTCATAAAAAGTAACAGCAGGTGCTTTGCATAAACCCTATATATAAAAATTAAGCTTTTCCTTAACTCCCTTCAAATACATTTGGATTGTGATTTATAGGGAGGATCTCCAGTAATAGGACAGGAAGGTGAAGTATCAAGGCAAGTTGTAACTGGCTGACACATGAAGTTATTTTGTTGGTCTGGTTACACAAATCTTAGTAAAACTATACATGTATGCCTCATTTCCTCAGTGCTAATAATTTTATAATTCTGCCTCTTAACTTGTATTAGTGACTAGCAGTCAATTGTGGTCTACTGCTGATCGTATAACTTGCAGTTCAGTGTTATGACTATAAGAAGTTATAATAAACATTTTATCCATGCTCTCAGTCTTCAGAAGCAAGAGATTTAACTGCTAGCCCAAACCTATAACTTTAGGTTGCTAAAACAGAGGATATTTTTCCCAAATTAAAAACATTAATAAAATGAGTATTAAAAGATGGAATCGAGCAGTTAAAGCTATTAACTGTGAAGGCTATTATGATCTTTACTGTCTTCAAAAATGTAGACAATATAAAAAAAAATCACATTGCTGTGACATCTTCATGTATTCAAACATGGCTTAGTGACAGTGTTCTGCATATCAGAGGGAAATGCTTTTCAGTGTTACAAAACAGATAGTGTAATGGGGAAGAGAGTTCCTTAAGAAAAACTGATTAAACCCTGGGGTTGGAAGGAGAGGTTGGGGGAAAAGAAGGAGCTAATCAAGGCTACTGGCTTAAGTCCTAAAATACAGCTAAAGGACTATTTTTACTAAATCCTTTTAACTGTTTAACCAAGTCATATGCTTACTCTGAGGTAAATTAGCAGCTTTTCTATAGCACTCATAGTATCTGTGCACCTTTTCCACATTGTTTTTATAAGCAAATCAGTCAATGTAAATTGTCTTGCTGACTTTATCAAGCTGGTTCTAGCCATATACAGGTAGGTATTTTAAAGCTTGCTTTTACAGGTAAAAAGCGTAAGTGAAACTACTGTCATAATTTTTTTTTTTTTTTTTATAAAAACAATACTTAGTCTACATCCTCCTCCTCTCCTCTTTCATCTACTTGGTATGGTGAATCTGAGAGAACTCAGGGAGCATACTCAAGACTACATAACCAGCAGCGGGATAGTGATTCAAAGAGACCTAAGCTTTCCTATACATCTACCTCTTCTGTGAGAAGTAATGGCTTAAATGCAGTTTCAGGTAAGAGATGCATTACTAGTGCTAAATACTACATATAAAATGTAGTTCTGAACAGCAAGCTTTTACCAAGTTGTAAATATCCACTCATAAATAGAGGCTTTAAATACTTAGATATTCAAAATAAACTTTAAACAGTAGAAACAAAGTGTTTTCACAATTTTGGTATCTTTATCAGTCTCTAGGAAAATATTAACTTTAGTGTTTTGAAGAGACCACTGTATTAAAAAAATCACTTATTTTAGTAGAAAACATTCATATTTAAAGGTGAATGGAATGACTAAGATAACCAAATGTCAGAGTCCTAAGGAAGAAAGTCTGCAGCTGTTTACTGATGCAGTTTGGCACTAAAATTTAACAGGTACACAAGAGCAGTAGGGCATGTGGGAGCAAATTCTTCCCTGTATTCTAGCTCTGCCTTTCACACAACCCTGAATACCCCAGCTGGCCAAAGTACTATGGGCAGAGGTGGAGCTAGAAGCAGAATCATCTTTTTTTAGCGTGGGCTAAAGGTGGCCATCTTTACAACAGAGCTTTCAAGCCAATATTAGATAACATTGAACAGATACGATTTTAGATTCTTAAGAGAATGCTTAAACTAACTACCGCTGGAGTTAAGGTTGTAAATATGTATCTAGAATGTGTCCATGTGGTGGGCATAGAATTTAACTCAGTTTAAGTGTGGCAGCTAAAACTAAAGTTGAAGGTAAATTTTAAAAAAATTAGAAAGTTATGAAAATACCACGAACAACCTTAAGTATGGTCTTGTTACCCTATCCTCTCTACTCAAAATATTTGCATATCTTCAGAACCGATTATGAATTGCAGGCTACACAGCATCCTATCAGACAATAATAAGCTTACCCTCAAATCATAATACATATATGCCAATGACTCTTCTATTCACTCTGCTTTGAGAAGACTGCAGTACCAAGACTTCTCCTCTTACTCTTCATATAAACTAGATTTCACTTTAGCCTTTATCTCATCTTCCCAAAATGACTCCATATCTGACTTGACGGAAGTATTTTAAAACCATGTATATTCCCTGTTGCTGTCTTCAGTGCTTTGGTTCCCAGCAGCTATAGAAACATTAGCTTGTGCCTACATCCAAGGTTATACAACTTAATCAAAGATGGATGTGATTTGAGGTGGCTTCAGCCACAAGTGAGAAGCGATAGTATGGATTTTAAGAAGGCCACAGAAACCAGGGATCCTGGCCAAACCACCAAGGTATCAGAGGTTTGATGTATCACACTTACCTTACATAGGATAGAATAATGGGGCAGAGTTAAATTGGCTTGGGGTAGTTTTGCTATACTTCACAGTATTTTAGAATTGTAGGTTTGGGTAGGGTTGTTATAAGCTTATAACGTTAAGAAAAATCCAGTGTTAAACACAATGAAAGTGTTCTGTCAAGACTTTCTTCTTGTATACAGACCTGTATATACCACCTTATATCCAGCTAAACACTCTTCAAAAATCTGAGAACACTGGCAATTTAACAAATGATTGGATTCTACTACCTTCCTCCCCACCTCCACTTTGATAATACATTGTATATTCAGTACAACCCATGGCATCATTGACCATCTCTGCTTTTTGCGGTCAGGAATCATAAGCGATTACAGCTTCTGATCTTACAAACCCCTTTGCACATAGAAATGTCCATTGTCATCTGGAGTTTAATAAAGCAACATTAAATGTCTAAGGAATATTTGATCCTTGCTTTTTTGGATTTGGCTGGTCCTCAGATTGAAGTTGTGTTGTTAAATTGTATTTCATTCAAAAATCGTATAACCAATGTTTAACAGAGCCACTGAAGAGCACATTTGTTCTTACCAAATCTGAAATACCTATCTCCTGCTTAGATGCTGAAGCTGTTACAAAAAAAAATAAAAATTGAAAAACACTTGCCATTTAAAAACAAAACTTTTTTTGTACTGTGAGCAAGAGCAGTTTAATTACTCATGGGCTGAGACTGTGTTCTGGGAAAACAAGTTTTAAGAAGCCCCTTTAGCATCAATGCAATTATATTGCAGTACACCAAAGCAAATCAGCTGTTTGAGTAAAACTGGTATTGATATTTTTGTGATACTGACATTTTTTAAACTATCAGTAGAATTTATACAGAGTTCTCTTGTTTTTAGATTCCTCATGGAGGTATAATCAAGTTCCTAGATCTTCGTCAGTGGTACTCAGTTCTCTGGGAACTGAGCTAGTGAGAGAGAGGAGAGAGCTAGAAAGGAGAACAGATCCATCTGTTAGTAGTCTTGTGGATTATAGTCACAGGAGTGGTGACTTTACATCTTCAGCATGTATGTATTATGCAGCTGAAAGCTTGCAAATGCATAGGTTGTGTGTTTAACTTTGTTATTCCTTTAATGTTTCATGTCACATGTAAAATCTAACAGATCTATTTTAATTCTTTATAGCCTGTTTGGTCCTCTTAACTCAACTGGTCAAACATATGGATAAGAGTTGAACTTACTGTCTAATTGCTGACCATTCTCTGTCTAGATCCTGGTTTGAAAATGCCTTGTATGCATTTAAGTGTAGATAGTGGCGAACTATTTACACCAAGGTGCAGGGATCTGTTGAACTGAGCTTTATGTTGAGTGAAACATTATATTGCTTTGGTGTGAATTTTCAGCAAACCTCTCTGCTCCCTCAACTTCTCAGCCTCTTTTCCAATGAGAGATTTGTTTAACCTCATAAGTGTTCCCCAGTGGATGGAGAAGAAGTATAAACTAGGTTATTTGACTAATAGATATCTATACACAGTGTCCCTCTTTCCTAACTGGTCTCTTGCCTGAGAGTGGATCAGCTCAGCTCTCTCACATCTAGCCCATTTACCTGCCAAGAGATTTCTACCATGCATCTTTGCAAGAGTAGAATGTGTTGAGAAAACAAGTGCAGAACTAAAATTACAAGTGAGTAGCTGTTGGCAACTGGAGTGCACACACAACCAGCTTGAGAGACTTACCTATAAGCACGGACGGTTTTATAAAAAACTTAACACAGACTAATATGACTGTGGGGTTCAAAGCAGTCTTTGGACTTGAATATTAAGTAGTGAGTATTTTAACAGAACCACATAATCCTTATGCCAGGCTTTCTGGTTTGCCTTTCACACTTTCTTCCTATTTAAGCTGTTTTGGCCTTGTAGAGCTACCCTACCTATCTATGGAAAGACTCCTCACATATCCTTATCTTACCCAGTTCACCAGTGCTTTAATGGTGTCTTCATGCAAAACTGTGCAGAATCCCCATTCTCATGGGTATGGGAAAATAAAGGGAAAAGGAAAATATAGGCCCCAATTCTGCATTGTGATCTGGGTAGTCAATCTGCTGCGCTTGCATGAAGACTCTTTCAAGTCAGTGGGGCTTCCTGCACCTAGAGATCACAATGCAAGATCGGGGTGCCTTAGTGCCCAAGGAAAGGATCTCTGTTTCTCTGCCAGTGTTAGCCTAGCATTAAATAGTATGCAAAGCTTGCTATGGCCACAGTTGTGCAAGGACAGCTATTCAGAAGGATTCCTGCACCTGTGCAGAGCTATTTACTTCAAAGGGGTTCTGCCTGTGCAGTTCTCTTTCCAGTTTCATGGCCTGTGTATCATGAGTTCAGAAATGTCATGTGATGCAGTGGATTATAATGCTATACTATACAGGGAAACATTTGACTCCAGTTAATGAATTCCATTTTTAAAAAACAAGGAAGTAAAACAGTTTATTTCCTTACCTGGTTGCTTCTCTGTTCCTCCTTTTAAAAAAAAAAAAAAAAAAAAATTCACTTTCTCCCAACCTTTTTTTCCCTAAGGAAGGAGGCTATCTATTTTCAGCTGTGGCTCCTGGTCTTTTGGGTCTCAGACATACAACAGGAACCCTGGTTCAGCTGCTGTAATGTCAAAGGAGTTGCCCTGGGAGTTAAATCCTTGTTGTGGCTACACTCTGAAGACAAGCTGCAGGAGCCAAAGAAATCATGCATCCAAAGAAGCAGCAGATGGATAATTAAAAAAAAAAAAAAAAAAAGGGGGGGGGGGGGAAGCAAATTAGAGGACTCAAGAATAACATTTTAATTGGCTGGCTGGATCATATGGCTGTGTTAAGCCAATTGACATCTGGATAGCAAACTGAGCAACTGAGAGCAATAATACTAAATGATTAGTCATATGACCCTGTCTGAGCCAATTGGATGGTTGAGCCATTGAACAGTGTAATAGATTCTGAAGAGTCAGAGTTGTTAATGAAAGTCAATGTTGGTAATATACTTGCTAGTTAACAGTTACTCTTAGTATAACTAATTTTTTTTACTGAGGGATTATTGAAATTGTGGTTTGTTGTATTTTTTTTAACTGTATTGGAGACATTTGAGCATTTAGTTAAACAAGATGCTCTCTCTTTTCACTGCATCTGATTATCATTCATATTGAAGTTGTAGTACATTTTAAGATCTCTAACTGAAGCTACTACTACTAAACTTAGTCAGTAGCGGCCACATAACCTTTAAGTAGTTTTTGAAACTACAGTTTCTGTTGTCTCTTGTTTTCAGGTGTAGTTGGGATTAAGTATTCTACAAAGCTGTTAAACTCCTTTTTTTTAATACTGTAACTATATCAGAATGCGTTTATTTTGAGAGAGGAGGAAATATGCTTTATCTATAAATTTTGCATTCTAGACATATTTTAATGACTGTTATATTTGTCACTGAAATTATTAGACTGATCTGAATATTTACTTAAAAAGGCCCAAACTGCTGGTTAGAGATTGAAGAACAGGTATTGAATAGAATACTGTTTATATATGCAGTTTTCTATTTAATAGAAGTGCTTATATAATATCAGTTGACAGATATTATTTTAATGTTCATTAACTTGATCCCTCCATACAAGGAATGCTGAATCATAAGGTGGTAGTTTGAATAAAATACAGATGAGAATTGTGGGGTATGTGCATCTGCTATTGACTTAATAAACTGGTTTCAGTTTATCTGGAATCTACTTAATAATGTAATCCTGTTCACTAAGAGAACAATACTCAATTTAGACTGTCTACAACCTATCTTGCCAACTTTTAAAGTCTTTAAAAGTGAGTACAACATAACCCTAGACTCACTGTAATTCAGTTGGATAACTTTTAAATGACTGTGTACATTTTGTCTCTTTCTCCAATTCTTCCATTGTAGATCTTCAGGATAGACCTGCCTCTTCATATGCACAGGGAGCAAGACCAAAAGATAATTCATTGAGCACTTTGAGGCTGAATACATCCATGAACCGCCAGTTGCCTTCTGAACATGATTCATCTTTATTCTCCGGAGTCTCTAGCAGAAGCTCTTCAAGATCTAACTATTCTACAAGAGAAGTGGAATCTTCTCAAAGGAATATACAGCCAGAGTTTACCCACATTGCCATTAGAGATGAAATTCCCTCCACAAGCAGCACTGAAAGGGTTGCGTCTCAAAGGTCACTCAGTGAGCCTCCAGCAGATACTGAAGGAAGGCGTACAACTAGACAGTTACTATCTCGTTTAGCTTCTAGTATGTCATCTACATTTTTCTCACGGAGGTCTAGCCAAGACTCATTAAATGCAAGATCATCAGATTCTGAAGATTCATGTGTTGTCCCAAGAGTTCAAACTTCTACCCAATCTAGCACTAATGCAACTGCACGTCCTGAAGTTCCAGGCATTCAGACACCTGAAGCTTCTCAGGGATTTAGCTTTCTTAGACGAAGATGGGGCTTATCAGGTGTTTCACAGAATCATAGTTCTGATTCAGATGCTGAAAGTTACAGACAAGAGCCTGAAAGTAGAAATACAGGATCCTGGTTATCGTCATCTCTAAGAAATAGATGTACACCTCTGTTCTCCAGAAGAAGGCGAGAAGGAAGAGATGAATCTGCAAGAACCTCTACCTCTGAAACACCTGCTAGATCACTACACCTCTTTAGGAGAAGAGAGTCTAGCGAAGAGACTCCTCTTGAAGCACAGAGCAGCTCCCCTGGGGCTGCTGCCAACAGACCACCAACACCAGCAGTATCTAGCAGTCCTACAACTACTGCTTCCACACCAGATTCAGCTCACAGTAGAAGAAGTTCTGGAATATCAGGAATTCTTCCCGGCTCTTTATTCCGGTTTGCAGTGCCCCCAGCATTAGGGAGCAGCATATCTGACAATGTTATGATAACAGTAGATATTATTCCCTCAGGTTGGAATCAACCTGATGGAGAAGAAAGTGACAAGTCTAAAATATTACCTTCAAGAGATCCTGAAAGACTCCAGAAAATTAAAGAGAGGTAAATCAATATGATATTCCCAGTAAATAAAACATATCTGAATGGGTTAATAGACTTAATGAGACTTTAAAGAAAAGTTATTTAAAGGGGCCTCTTATTTTGAGATTGTTGCAGTTCAATTCTGTGGCACCTACAATGTCACTTATCTTCAGACAAACTTGTTCTAAACTCCTTTTTCAGGTTTGAGAACTATTTGTCAAAGGAATTAAAGTTTGGAAAAAATGCCATATACGTGTAGCTTTCACCTCTGTTTGAAAAAATTGCTTTCTTCCTACTCAGCCTCCTGTCAGAGGACACTGAAGAGGAGGAAGGTGATTTATGTAGAATCTGCCAGATGTCATCTGCATCTTCTACCAACCTCTTAATAGAGCCATGCAAATGCACTGGAAGTCTGCAATATGTTCATCAGGAATGCATGAAAAAATGGCTGCAGTCCAAGATTAATTCTGGTAAGGTAGACCTTTTTAGAACAAGTTATTTTCCTGATTAAATGAAAGATGTGTTGTTGGAATGACTAACTATTGCAGTAAAAATCATACAATCTTGGGACGTCATTTGATTTGTTAATTATGCAAAACAGTTGGAGACAAACAAAGAGAAGCATGGAAATTCTGAAAGGTATACCTGGCAATCCTACTTTGTCTTTTATACATGTAATTTTCAAAGTATCCCAAAATGCTTGGGGATTTCTGATTCAGTTTCTGGTGTTGCTTGGATTTACTAATAAGATGGTATAACTACTCGACAATGTATTTTTTCTTTGTTAAAATACCTTACATTTTGATCCTTTCTTCAGTTGTATGGGGGGAGAGGTAGATACGCTGGAGGGTAGGGATAGGGTCCGGAGTGACCTAGACCGATTGGGCAAAAAGAAATCTGAGGTTCAACAAGGACAAGTGCAGAGTCCTGTACTTAGGACGGAAGAATCCCATGCACTGCTACAGGCTGGGGATTGACCGGTTAAGCAGCAGTTCTGCGGAAAAGGACGTGGGGATTACAGTGGATGAGAAGCTGGATATGAGTCAACAGTGTGCCCTTGTTGCCAAGAAGGCTAATGGCATATTGGGCTGCATTAGTAGGAGCGTTGTCAACAGATAGAGAAATGATTATTCCCCTCTGTTCAGCACTGGTGAGGCCACATCTGGAGTACTGTGTCCAGTTTTGGGCCACACATTACAGAAAGGATGTGGACAAATTGGAGAGAGTCCAGTGGAGGGCAACGAAAATGATTAGAGGGGTGAGGCACATGACTTATGAGGAGAGGCTGAGGGAACTGGGGTTATTTAGTCTGCAGAAGAGAAGAGTGAGGGGGGGATTTGATAGCAGCCTTCAACTACCTGAAGGGGGGTTTCATAGAGGTTGGGGCTAGGCTGTTCTCAGTGGTGGTAGATGACAGAACAAGGAGCAATGGTCTCAAGTTGTTGTGGGGGAGGTCTAAGTTGGATATTAGGAAACACTATTTCTCTAGGAGGGTGGTGTAGCTTGGGAATGGGTTACCTAGGGAGGTGGTGGAATCTCCATCCTTCAAGGTTTTAAAGGCTCGGCTTGACAAAACCCTGGCTGGGATGATTTAGTTGGGGTTGGTTCTAATTTGAGCAGGGGTTTGAACTAGATGACCTCCTGAAGTCTCTTCCAACCCCAATCGTCTATGATTCTATGACTTTATAACAAGGCACAGTATGGCAGAGTTATAAGTATTGTGGAACCCTAGCATTCCTTAGTGATATCAAATCTGCTCAAATGAATGCCTTGTTTTAAGGAATACTAACAATCTTCAGAATAGCCATAGTTTTAAACTAATTGTTTAGCTGCAGAGCACATGAGAGTGAAAATTTGGGAAATCTTTCAGAAAATGGGACTGTCCACATCTTTAAAAGATGTATTGCGGTCCAAAAAAATCTGTTCATTAAAAAACTTCAGCACTTAACAGTTTATGCCTATATATGTGGATGGCATTGAGATTAAAATTGGTTTGGGGTTTTTGCTGAACTGTCATAAGAGGCATATAAGAATAAAACAAGTAAACTTTGACAAAAGAAAAAAAGTCTATTGTTAACCTTAACCCTGTAACAGATATTCCCTACAGTGACTCCAACACTATTGCTGTCATACTTCCTTTTTGTTTAATCTTGCTATGTAAAATAAAATTGAGCCAATCACTTAGACCATAACATCTAGCCTTGAATATATGATCTGACTCTCTTGTTTTGTTTCCATCAGGTTCTTCTTTGGAAGCAGTAACTACTTGTGAGCTGTGTAAAGAGAAGTTGCATCTTAATCTTGAGGATTTTGATATTCATGAACTCTATAGGGCACATGCAAATGAACAAGTTAGTATATTTTGCCTAATTTGGTAAGTGTCAGTCTAGTGCTGGAAGTACAGTTTTTGTTTTGTTTTGGTGTTTTTAAAAAAGAAAAATTGGTCGGATACCATGTACATAATATAAATTTATTTAGGCCATATTCTGTCCCCTAAGTGGAGCAAAAGAAATGAGAATTGGCTGCAGATTCTCTACATAGTTCCTAGTAGGTGTAGACCCAATATAATATCTCTCCAACTTGTAGTCTCTGTTTTTAGCAGTTACTCTGCGTGATGTCTCTGAAATAAGATTATATGAACCTAGAAATACTGGTATGAACCTAGGATCAAATTCCAGATGGATTCAAGGTGGCAGTCTAGCTTTCTGCATACTTAAATGTCCACATTGCAGGCATGATAAATTCCTTACAACTCCACGATCTCTAATTAGACTCGTAGACAAACTGAAAAATTTGCTATCCTGTTGCTTGCCCCATCTAGACAAAAACAAAAATGGGGCCCTGAAATAATCACTCACTGCTTAAGATATCAGCATACTTAAAAAGGAATACTAACACACTTTGGGAGTGCATATAGTGTATTTTTTATTACTAGACACGTAGGTATCATAAAGTACAAAATTTTGTTCAAAGGATTTTCCTACACTTTTAGCTTGGTACTTTACCTTTGTGAATATAGTACAACCTCAGTTATGTGAATAATATTAATAAGTTCAAATAACTTAAGTTTCCAATAATCTGGAAATTTCATAATTGTTACATAAGGGGAACATGACCCAATTTATGCATAACAAGAAAATTGTAAGCTGAGGTTTGCATTATGTGTACTCTGAATCAGATCTCAACCTAGACACCTATGTGGGTGTCCAAGAGGAAAAAATCACAATCTTTTAAGTAACTATAAGAATCCAGTCACTTGGGGCCAGATCATGAATGTACTACTTGCATCGGTTAGCAGATACTCACAGGACTAGTCTAATTGAAATCAGTGGGACTATACCTAGAGTAATTGCTTGCTGGTGGGAGTAAGGGATTTGCAATTTGTTCCTAAGGAACTGACTCTTTTTAAAAAAACTATTGCAACACTATTGTATGCAGTGTAGTTATAGACTTGTCAGTCCCAGGAGATTAGAGACACAAAGTAGGTGACGTAGTATCTTTTATTGGACCAATTTCTGTTGGTGAGAGAGACAAAGCTTTCAAGCTTGTCTCTCTCACCAACAGAAGTTGGGCCAGTAATTGCTACACTAGTCATTTCAAGTTCTTTTGTATTACCCTACTTTAAAACTTTATTTTCTCTGCCATTAATCATTAACTATTGAAAGTTAGTTTTTCCCCCTTTCATCCCCCCCTTTACTGGATGAAGTTGCATACATTTTTCCTGTTATCTTTCAGTGGCTCTCTCCAGTTGGGAGAAGAGAGGTTAGAGGGCATTTTTGCTTTCTGCTATTCAGCACTGAAGTGAGCTAATAGTTTTGGGATCTATGAAAAAGACTGCTTAAGCCATTAAAAAAAAAAAAAAAAAAAAAAGGCCCCGATCCTCAAGTCTTTGCTCATAGACTTTTCCCATTGACTTCAATGGAAGTTCTTGTGTGAGTAAAATCTATTTGAATGAATATGAGTCTTGAGATCAGGCCTAAGCAGTTTTTAGTTATGATTTCATAATTACTTGGAGCACTAGGATCAGAAATGCAGTAGGAGATATTTTAAAGCCTCTGCATCTGTTATCCTCCCTCAGCATACTACCATGGAAACTTGGCACTGGTATGCTTTTCATATTGCTTATACAAAAAAGTTTGATTGTTGAATTTTTCTCCTATCCCCTTCAAGGCAGACTATGAATTTATCAGCTCTGGTCTCTACCTTGTAGTATTGTTACACTTGTGTGAACAACGCTTTTCTGATATGCTGGGAACTGCAAGTGAGGCCAGCACACGTGTCAGGGTGAGTGTCTCATTTTGTGGGTGGTGTTGCTTGTATAAACATTCAGGTTGTTATTTGGTGAGTTGTTATCTTGCTATGCTCATACACTTACAGCTCATTTCCTGTGTACTTTATTTTGTAATCTCTAAAATGTAGTTGTACAGTCTAGCATAATGGGGCCATGATTTTAATTGGGGCTTCTAGGTGCTACCATTGTACAAGTAATAATGATAAAATCATAGTTCCTGTCTTTGTGGGAATTGCATCATGCAGTATTAAAATAAAAGTGTATTTTGCTGACAAGACTATTAGTGGTTAAAATAAACAGGGCATTGAATATTTTGGTGGTCTGCTATGATAATGAAAACAGATGTGTTCAAAAAGTCAAAATGTAATTTCACAGAAGTCTTAGAGGAGAAGTCTTAACTGGAAAAAATCTGATTACAAAATCTCCAGTTGTACAAGATGTACAGTTCCAAATATGAACATCACAGATGTACTCAACCAGTCTCAAAGATATCACACTACACTAATATCCCTTTATTATAGTACTAGGGCCTGAACCTGTAAAGACCCATTTGCAGGATTTGGCCCTTAGTTTGCACTTCTGTATTACATTGTAGCTTGTCAATTTAGAGTGCAATTCAAGAAATAACTAGAGGAAATTCTTACTAGTCATAGGATTGGATATTTATCCTTAAATTGGTGCTTATTTAGGAGTATAATAAACTATATACTAGTAATTCAGTATCATCGGAAATCATTCTTTGACCAGAGTCTGAGGCAGCAACCTAGTTATATAGGTAGAAGCTCTTTGGTATCCTATAATGGAAACATATCTCCTCGATATGTTTCACTCAATATGCATCCGAAGAAGTGGGTTGTAGCCCACGAAAGCTTATGCTCTAATAAATTTGTTAGTCTCTAAGGTGCCACAAGTACTCCTGTTCTTATAATGGAAAAAAGCTCTTTAGCAAATTAGCTATTGAAAAGCTAGGCCTTTTAACAAGAAGCAAAACTGTAGAAAGTGTGAACTTATTCCATGAAACCTTCAAATTATCAACACATGGCCATGTCTATTTTTGTTTTGTATCAGATAGTATGCCTAGACTTAAGCATTTGGAGTAGGGAACTTGTTGGCTCTAATCTCCTACTGCAAAGGGTCATGTACATTTATGGTGCTATACATATAAAGTATATTCTTATCACTACAACTTTCAATTTATGGTGTATTGAATGTGGTTTTGAAGGCAGCTATAACTATAATAATTAGTAAATTTTAATTGCTAAAAATCTAGGTTAAGATTTTTCAATGGTGCCATGGGATCTGTATACCCCATTTTCATGAAAGTTAATGGGAAACTGGGCACCCAACTCCCTCAGAGCTTTGAAAATCTCCACCCTAATCTTTTAAAGCATTAAAGTTGTAATTAGTGACTTATTTTATTGTATTTTAAGCCTTCTGTTTACTATAGTTTGCATAAGTTCTTTAGTGTAGATTCTCTGACCATCATCTAGTTAAGTGGGTTCTACTTCCCCCATAAAATCCCACTATATTCAGATTAATGTAGATGAAATGAGTTCACGTAATGAAGTCATTACTCATTAGATCAATTTATATATATACCAAGTTACATTTGGTTTATCTATTATTAAAATTACATTTTGTAACACTAGGAACCAAATAGCTTTTATTAAAGTTTTTCCCATTTCCATAACTGACTGTGTATTTGATTTTTGAATTAGACATGTTTTCCAGAATATAGAGCATGAACATGACACCATTGACTTCACTGTCAGGATCCTTTGACACAGTGGAGATTCACACTTCCAATTGGTATTACACAATAGTCTGATACAATGTGCCTGATTTTTTTAAATAACTTAAACTTTGTACTAATGGTTTATGCTGATAAGGGCATAGAGTGACTCCCTTGGAAAGGACTTTGGGGTAAAGGCATAAAATGCATTTTTTTTCCTTTTTTCCTTTTTAAAGAAGAAAGCAAACCTCTGTGCTAACTTGTTGCAAGTTTCTGCAGATTATTTTGCAACATTTAAATTACTTTCTCTTTACCTTGTTTCTAGTTTATTAACCTTGCAAGAACTCTTCAGGCACATATGGAAGATATTGAAAGTAGGTGGCTTTTCCTTTCCAGATTGGTTCAGTTTCACTTCAGGTTAAACCAACATAGGGAAACTAAACTGAAAAGAATCCTGCTTGCTATAGAACCAAACATAAGTGCTGAAGCTGGCTTGTGAGTTTATAGAGCAGTGGCTATTTCATCATGTAACACTGGAAGGGTGTTGGGAATGAATTGGCATCTAGATTAAGGGCTCAAATTAGCTTTCCTAAATGTTTATAGTCTGTTGGGGAGTGGATTTATTTTTTGAGACCAGTAAGATTAACCTCTGTAATTGAAGCCTGTGCATAACAGTACCAGGATTCTTTAATTATTCAGATTAACCTGTCTTCATTTATTGGAGTAATTAGTTCCCAAACTGTAGTTTGTGGTCAGTTGGTGGTGACTGTTCCCTTTTTATAGTGGTTTTATTAGGGGAAGGCAGCTTAAATTGCAGTTGAGACCGCTCAAGTGATGACCATCTCTCCCTCTCTGGCTCCCCCTACCTGAACCATTTTGGCTATGCCTCTGTTTGTCAGCACCTGCTTTTGTGATACACACTGGTCAGTTGCAAGACCTCTAGCAGAGTGAAAGTATAGCGACTGGGTAAACTTTTCACTACCTAGTTCCTGTGCCCTGGGCTACACTGGCAGAAGCCCGCGTAGCCTAGTGTTTAAACTTGCATGGATCTAAATGTTGTCTTTTGCTTGTTGCTACGTCTAGACATTGGAAAGATATTGATGACTGCTTTGATTTGTCAACCTCAATGTATGGATGACTCTTTTTATAGAAAAATGTAATACAGGTCATAAGGCCTGAATATGATTTCCATCCATGAGATAAAGTGTTCGAAGTACTATAGGGATAGTTTTGCTTGTGTTCCAGGAAACAAATTCTGATTTAGTTTCATGAGCCTGAATGCATGACTTCATATGGTAAAGGTCTAGTTGTTAGCTAGCTAATATTTTTCTAAAACAAAGGTGACCAGAATTTTTTATAAAATAACTTATTCCTCATTTAGATAATTGTCCTTTTATAGAACAAATGAATTCTGGAATGAGCCTTGTTTCTCCTTGAGTTTGATCTGCAGAGAATTTGACAGGTGATTTATCAATTGGCATAAACATTGAGTTTGGGAGTCTGAAATAGTGCATTAAATATGCTCTCCCTCACCAGTCTTTACAAAATAATTTAGTTTTTGAGGGGAAGGGGAGAATTGAGGCCAGGCTTCCCTTTTAACTTATACTTAGGATTGGCACAATTGAATTTTTAAATTGGTAGTCATCAGTAAATGTTGAATTTACCTGACACAGAAATCAGTGGAAAAAAATGTCTATCAATAATAGCAGTCTCTGAGTGCAGGTTTCCCTACACCTTACACCCACAGGGATGTGCCATCATTGGTGTGCAGAAAGCCCTCTGCAGCCCCACTGTAGTGGCCCTGTTCACTCGCTCACTTTCTGGGAGTGTGAGAGTTGTCCCCAGAAAGGAGGTGTTCAACAATGGGTGACCTCCCCAACTCTTGGGGGCTTGTCTTCCTCCCTGTAGTCCTGGCCAGAAATGTCTGCTCAGTCCCACCAGCACCACAGCCTTCCCTGCACCCTCCGCTTCCAGGGATCCAGTTTCCCCAACAATGCAGGGATTCCTCTATAGCCCTGCTGTGAAAAATGTATTAAATTGATAAAATTGGGGGAGGAGGGAAGGTTAAAAATAAATACTGATTGAATTCTGTCACAGCTACTTATGTTGCAGCTATTCATGAACAAGTTGTTCCTGAATGCAAGTAGGTTTATCCAAGATGGTTCAAAAGTTCTTACACTGACAGTTTTCCATATAGACAATCCTAAGCTATCTCCCACTTCAGTATGAAAAAAAGAATTTCAGCAAGTATGTCTTAACATGGCACTAAACAGAAAAGGAAAAGTAATTATACAATTGCATTGCTCACCCAAAAGTTGGTTGCACTTCTGTGGTGGTGGTGGAAGTGATTCCTGTGTGTACACAAACATCTTAGAGCATGTCAGGATGAGTGTTGCACAGAAATACATTACTATTTTTTTCAGTTTGCAAATGTGTATTCTTTCCTCTGTTTCCCTCTCATGCAGCCCTATATAAATTTCTACCACAATTTTCTATAGCACATAGTACTAGAGAATCTCTGAAAACTAGGAAAATTGTTACTTCGAAGCAAAAATAAGTGACACAGCATGGCTGACAGCTTCATAAAACTATCAATTTTCTAAAGTATCCTCTCTGTTTGGGATAATGAATCTTTTTAGAATTTTAGAAATACCTGAACATATTTTGTTCGCTTTGACTTTTTTCACCCCCACAACCACCACTGCTATGGTGTTTCGCTGCTATAGCTACTGGTGTTAGTCAACATAAAGAAGGGCCAGTTTATACTCAGGCTTAAGCAGGTACAGGTGTTTGGGCGTTGTTTTTTTTTTTTTTAGCCAGTGGCAGCTGCATATAATGTTGTTGATAATAAATTTTTCTAGGAGCCTGCATTTTAACATGCACTTGAATGGGCTGAGTCTTGTGATAGAAAATTCTGAATTTTGGTATTAAATTAAATCTCTTCTATTCACATTTAAACTAAAAACAATTTTTAATTCTACATTTTACAGACCTTTAAGAAGGCTTTTGATTGTACTATATTCTTCCAACAGCTTCAGAGGATGATTCCGAAGACAGTGATGCTGGCAGAAGTTTTGACACTGCTTAATGCTGCAAGAGCCAAACAGAAGTGCTGCAAAGATGCTGAACTAGCAAGAAAGTACCATCAATATGCATTTATTTTTTGCTCTCTTTAGTAGAAAGCGCATTGAATATTACTATAGTTTTTAAAGCATTACTGAACTCAATCTGTTGCTGCATACCGGAACACAAACGACGAATTTGAAAACTATTCAGCAAGGTGTGCAAGAGTTAGATATACAACGCTGTATCCCCTTTGAGATGGGATCTTATGCCTTGTTTTGAAAAAGTAGATCTTAAATATTTAAGGAAGTCATATCTCCCTTTATATTAACGTCTTACTGTAGTCAATTAGATTGCTGGATGGTCTATCAAGTTTTTCTCCTATACTGGTAATTGTGCGTTTTGGGGTGGCGGGACCCATGTACTTATAGCATAAATTTTCCTTTAAAAATGCTTATGTTGTAGTTTCTTATAATCACTTGCTTCCAGTGTTAACATAGGATGAATGGGTACTGTAAAACTACAGTGTTCAGTTTCCAAATTTTATTTGAAGAGTGTTAAACTCAATAGCAATAAGAACTTGCAAGGGGCTTCTATTATTAAAGTGTTAATGATGGCTTTTTTATGTACTGATTTGGAAATTTGAGATTATATTTGATATTATGTGGATATTTCATTAAGGAAATATTGCAGCTGTAAACTCTTGCATTTTGGCATTCCTGGCAGAAATGCAACTTGATAGGATTTAAAATCTTAATTGACCTGTTTAGTTTAAAAACCTTTTTTAGATCCCACATTCACTGTTAAAGCACTGGTTATATCAATGTGTTTTCTAGTGTTGTCACTTCTTTATAAATAAAGATGATGCATAGAACTGCGCTGGAATGTTCCTTTTTTAAACATGGGTAACTGTAGAACTGTCTTCCTAAACTTAACATGGTAGCAAGATCTACACATCTCACCTTGTAAGTCTGGTAACATACATACTGTCTTAGGGTATGTCTACACTTACCCGGTAGTTCGGCGGCGAGCGATCGAACTTCTGGGTTTGACTTATCGCGTCCAGACAAGACGCGATAAGTCGAACCAGGAAGTGCTCGCCGTCGACTGCGGTACTCCAGCTAGACGAGAGGAGTACCGCGGAGTCGACAGGGGAGCCTGCCTGCCACGTGTGGACTGAGGTAAGTTCGAACTAAGGTACTTCGAACTTCAGCTTCGTTATTCACGTAGCTGAAGTTGCGTACCTTAGTTCGAATTAGGGGGTTAGTGTAGACCTGGCCTTAATGTTCTCTGTATAACCTGGGGAACAATTTACTGGTATAAAAACTACCACCACTCTGGGAATACCAACTTGGAAGAAGTTAGGTTGAATATACATTCTTGTCATGTACAGAAAAAGAGCCTTTTTCTGTAGGATACTTAAAATTATCTAGGTTCAGATATCTACCCATCTTTTTTTACAACTGCATTTGGTTAGAGACATCTGTCAAGGAGTAGATTACTATTGACAATTTTTTCAAGGGAAACAGATACATAACATGGTCAAGGAGAGTCCCTCTATTCCAACTAAATCTCTTGTTCTATACCATTATAAGTAGAATTCTTCCTTCAAACTCAATTTGTAATATGCATAAGCACTCTAGAATCTACCAATTCTGAGATTAAAAGCGGCCCTATTGGATTATCTAGGAAGTCCACTGCCAACACAGGCCAGTTCTTGACAGTATATACACCTCTACCCCGATATAACACGAATTCGGATAGAACGCAGTAAA